CGCTTATAACATGTGTAATTTTGAGAAAGTTACTTCAATACTCCGTGCCTCAGTTTCCTCACATGATGGAATTAACAGTCTGTCCCTGGGCCTAGCCAAAGTAAATAGCTTGTAACACTTTAGCTACCATGTGCCTCTGCAGCATAGCATTACAGGAACCCAGGTTGGGCCATTAGGCTAGGGCCCCGGCCTTAACCAGACCTTCAATTCCTTCCCTTCTCTCTTATTCTACAAAATAGAGATGGTAATGGCTACCCGCACTGCTGAGAGCTGATTCTGAGCCAGGCAATGCTGTAATTACGACTACTTCCAAACAAGAAAGCAAGAAAGAACACTGTGTAGCCCAGTAAAGGCTGATATCGTTCAAACAGCACAAAACTACACTCCCCAGAAATGGACCCTTGGAGATTTCTCAAGCCACCTACCCCATCAGTACCCCTGGGATGACTACCTTGGCTAGGCCAGGGGTGGGGGGGCAAACTAGGACCCATGGGCCAAATCCACCCAGCCACCTGTTTTTGTATCTCCCACAAGCTAAGAGTGGTTTTAACTTTTTAAATTGTTTTTTGTTTTGTTTTGTTTGTTTGTTTGTTTTGAAAGGAAGTCTCGCTCTGTCGCCCACGCTGGAGTGCAGCAGCACGATCTCAGCTCAGTGCTACTTCCGCCTCCCAGGTTCAAGAGACTCTCCTGCCTCAGCCTCCCGAGTAGCTAGGACTACAGGTGTGCGCCACCATGCTCTGCTAATTTTTGTATTTTTATTAGAGACAGGGTTTTACCATGTTGGCCAGGCTGGTCTTGAACTCCTGACCTCAGGGCGATCCACCCACCTTGGCCTCCCAAAGTGCTGGGACCACAGGCGTGAGCCACCACACCCAGCCTTAAATTGTTTTTTATAGAGACATGCTCTCCCTCTGTTGCCAGGGCTACAGTGCAGTGGCACAAAAATAGTTCACTGCAGCCTCAAACTCCTGGGCTCAAGTGATCCTGCCACTTCAGCCTCCTGAGTAGCTGGGACTGCAGGTGTGCACCACCATGCCCAACTAATTGTTTTATTTTTGTAGAGACGGGGTTTCATCATGTTTCCCAGACTGGTCTCAAACTCCTCAAGCAACCCTCCTGTCTTGGCCTCCTAAAGTGCTGGGACTATAGACATAAGTCACCGTGCCTAGCCAACATTTTTAAATCATCAAAAAAAAAAAAAGAAAAGAAATCAAAAGAATCCTGTTTTGTGACACATAAAAATTATACGAACTTTGAATTTCCCCATCCATAAATAATAACTGATTGAAACACAGCCAGGCCTGTTCCATTACATAACTATGGCTTCTGGTGCAGGAAGCAGCAGAGTTGAGTAGTTATAACAGAGACCACATGGCCACAAAGCCAAAACTATTTATTGTCTGACCGTTTACAACAGCAGTCTGCTGACCCGGGGCGAGGCACGAGTTTTCAACCCTGACACGATGAACTTTATCAGATTCCGATGCTGGGGTCCCACCAGCATCTCTAGGGGGTAGAGGTGGGGTACCCGGCATCTAGATATTTCAAAATCCCCCCACCAGGAAATTCTAACGTGTAGCCAAGAACGAAAACCCCTTATAGGTCTACAGCCAATATTTGCATGCAGGCAGCTGGCCTTTCAGAGCAGAATTGCATGGCAGTGAAATGGGACTCATTAAAAAACAAATTCTGCCTCCTCATCCCCAACTTTATTTCAAACCCTTCTGCACTCTGATCCACACTCATTTCTCCACTCTCTGAACTGTGGCCCCGTTCTCACGCCATGGAAAATCAGTCATCATTTGCGACCTCACCTACTCAGGAGTTCTGGCTTCTTAGATGGCCCAAGCCTTCAGGACAAGATCCCAAATGTCTCCCAACTCCAGAGGGCTCTTTCGTAACTGAACTCTGTGTTACTTATTCGTTTGCATCAATGTTTACGCTGACTCAGGGCAGTACTCAAGACCAGCAACTTCCACACAGAGTCTCAATGAACCAAGAAAGAGCTGGGCATGGTGGCTCATGCCTGTAATCCCAGCACTTTGGGAGGCTGAGTTATGAGGATTGCTTAGCTCAAGAGTGCAAGACCAGCCTGGGAAACATGGTGAAATCCTGTCTCTCTAAAAAATACAAAAGTTAGCTGGGTGTGGTGGCGCATGCCTGTGGTTCCGCTACTTAGAAGGCTGAGGTGGGAGGACTGCTTGAGCCCAGAGGCTGAAGCTGTAATAAGCCGTGATCATGCCACTGTATTCCAGTCTGGGCAACAGAGCAAGATACTGTCTCTAATAATAATAACAACAACAACAACAATAATAATAATAATAATAATGAACTCCAGAGAGGCCTATGAGGGCTAGTCCCTTGGACGGATGGGGAAACTGAGGTTCCAAGGCTTGATGGTACCTGCTCCAGAAGATCACACAGCTTGGTGGCAAAGTTGGATCATCCAAATCCATCTTTTTAGCCACTCTAAGCTAAGAGAGGAACGACGCAGTTCCCCAACAAAGTATGTCCATATTATTATAAATAGGGTGACCCCATGTCCTGGACTTGCTGGGACAATTCCAAATTCGTGTGAGGTTTTTTGTTTTTTTTTTCATTAAAGTGGTTTGAGAAAGGGTACAACAGCCTCCACTGAGTGCCCCACAGTGGTATTTTGAAGATGGCATGAGACCACACCTACAAAGTACTGGCACACTGAAAGCACCCCATGAATGGTAGTGGCTATTACTGTTGTACCCATCAGCTTTGAATTGGAGTTACTGAGAAGATATCTGCCTATCCCAATGGAACCCAAGTTCCTGGAGGGCGGAGGTCATGGTTCCCAAACATTTTTGTGACCCTTCCTGCTACCAGATGCAGGCCTTACGCATGGGAGGTGTGCATGAACGTTTATGGACCATGTAAACATATCCTAAGAAAATAAAGGATGGAGGCAGAGATTCAGCTACGAGGGTATTCCTCACTGTGCTATTGATAATAGCAAAAAAAAAAATAATAATAATAAAAGGAGAAACAGCCTGAATATCCACTACTTATAGGGGATTACTCATACTTTTTTCTAAGAGACAGGGTCTTGCTCTGTTGCCCAGGCTGGAGTGCAGTAGCACAATCATTGCTCACTACAGCCTTGATCTCCCAGGCTCAAGCAATCCTCTTCCCTTAGTCTTTCGAGTAGCTGAAACTACAGACATGCATCACCATCCTCAGCTAATTTTCTTTTTTTTTTTGGTAGAGATGGGGGTCTCATTATGTTGCCCAAACTGGTCTCGAACTCCCTAGTTCAAGCAATCCTCCTGCCTTGGCCTCCCAAAGTGCTGGGATTACAGGAATGAGCCACCACACCTGACCACATTTTTTTTCAGAGATGGGGTCTTATTATGTTGCCCAGGCTAGAGTGCAGTGGCTATTCACAGGAACGATCATAGCACACTGCAGCCTCCAACTCCTGGGCAAAAGCATCCTCCCTCCTCAGCCTCCTGAGTATTTGGGACTACAGGCTTGCACCACCCTGCCTGGCCAGGACTATTCATACATTTTAAGGCGCAACCATTTAAAGGAACACTATGGATCCAGTAAAAGTATGTTGTAGGCAGGGATTGGCAAACATTGTCTGTCAAGGGTCAGAGAGTAAATACTTTAGATCTGGTCAGTCTCTGTCCCACCACTCAAATCCTCCAGTGAGGCACAAAAGCAGCCATAAACTAGGCATAAATAATAAATCAATGAGCTTGGCTGCATTCCAATAAAACTTTATTTGTAGACACTGAAATTTGAATTTCATATAATTTTCACGTGTCACAAAACAATCTTCTTTCGACTTTTTCTTCAATAACTTAAACATGAAAAAACCATTCTCTGCTTGCAGGCCATAACAAAACAGGCAGCAGGTCATAGTTTGCCAAGCCCTGTGGTAGAAAAATACTTAATGTTGAATGAAAAAGTGAGTTACAGAATGTTCTGCATGATTCAAGTTTATAAATTAAAGCATATCTGCACAGGAAAAAAAAAGCTGAAGAACATACAACTGTTAACAAACATCACAGGGGTGGAATTACGGGTGATTTTGTTCCTCTTTTTTGCTTATCTATAATTTTCTGAATTGTCAACCACAGACAATCACTTTGGTAATTTTTTTTAAGTGCAATAAAATGAAGACAAAAAAGAAAAGAAACAAAACCAAGTAGGTAGAGCTACAAAGCACTCAGGCACTGAGATGCCTACGCTAATCTGCTCAGAAAATGACCCTAAATGAGATGCCTGCTTAAGTTCATGTCGATTCACCCGGGCTTCAGCTTCAAAAAGACCGCCTTCCACAACCATCAGCCTTCTGGAGGCCAAGGAAAGAAAGCGGGGAAGGGGTGACCCTGTCCATGGGCTGATCTTTAGGTACCTGTGTGCTCCGAAGCACCCTCCTCCAAGCAACGTCATCCCCAAGTCCAGCCTCCTTCCTCCCCTCCCGCCAAGGCCAGCTAGAGTTTCCAAGGCGGGCACCATCTCCCCAGCAGCCAACTCAAGCCCGTGTTTCTTTGGATAGGGGTGGGGGTAAAGGGGGTGGTGCTAAGAGGACATACAGCTTGACTTGAAGGGGAGGGAAGACTGCATAAGTTTGTAAAAGATTATGGTCATTCCAATTGCAGGCTTACTTACTTTACTTCGCGATCAGGGAAACAGACCTTGCACTTGGCAGGACTCATGTTGACCACCCCGCCAGCCGATCCCACCCGGCTCCCGCAGGGGTGCAGAGCATGCACCCCTTAACCGCCTGAAGCCGACCCGAGGCCCGGGACCCAGCAGGACAGCCAGGTCGCGACCCGGAGGCCGAGATGCGGTCCTAGAGCGCCGCGGGCGGAGTTCTGCTGCAGCCGGCGGGCGCCCAACTTCGCGCTGCGCTTGCTCCATCCCGAAATGCGCCGTGCGCGCCAGAGTCCCGGGCCTACGCGCCCGCCCAGGCCCCGCCCCCACACCGACCCCGCCCCAGGAAGGCCCCTCCTTCCGGACAGAGCCCCGCCCCCGGGCCGGCCTATCTCCGACCAGCCGCTGACCTTGGGTAGCCTAAGTGAGCTGCGGAGGTATTTTTTTTTAAAGTCTCTCTTCTGCTTTGCTCCCCAGCTCCTCGATCTGCTTTGCTCCCAGCTCCTCGACATATATTTTTTTTTAAAGTCTCTCTTCTGCTTTGCTCCCCAGCTCCTCGACTGCAGAAGAGTTCTAGGGTGGCACACCCCTACATATTGGCGGCAACTGATATGCTTGAATACACACACGATAGGGAAGCGGTGGAAAATATGGGAAATTTAAAATGTGAGTCAGAGGTCGCCACTGTGCCCGTTAAAAGTCCCTGTTGTCAAGTCGACTTTTATTTTCCAAATTCCTGGTTTCTCTCATCTTTTCACCTCCACTCCCAGGGACAGGTGGCCGCGCGATCACCCAGTGTGCTTCTAGCACGCAGTTTCCACCACCTGGGTCCGCTACTAAAGCGAGTGCCTCCAGGACAGGGAAGACCCCAGCAGCCCGGTGATGCAAAATAAACTGGTAAGACTAACATTTACTAAGTGCTCCTTTGTTCCTCTGTGTCACTTAATCCTCATGGCAATCTTATTGTTTTTATCCCCATAATACAGATAAAGAAACTGAGGCCCAGAGATGCATGTTATCTGAAGTGCCAGAGCCCAGGGTCTTGAACTCAAACTGATTCCAGTTAGAATAAATGAATGAGGCTGGGCCTGGTAGCTCATGCCTGTAATCCCAGAACTTTGGGAGGCTGAGGCAGGCAGATTACTTGAGGTCAGGAGTTTGAGACCAGCCTGGCCAACATGGTGACACCCTGTCTCTACTAATAATACAAACATTAGCCAGGCATGGTGGTGCACACCTGTAGTCCCAGCCACTCAAGAGGCTGAGGAGAATCACTTAAACCCGGGAGGCGGAGGTTGAAGTGAGCCCAGATGGCGGTACTGCATTCCAGCCTGCGTGAGGGAGTGAGGCTCCATCTCCAAAAATAAAAAATAAACGAATGAATGCTTCTTCAAGTAATATTATAATAAATACAAAGAACCAAAACACTACCTAGAAGTCATCGCAATAATAATAAAGGTAGCCTACTTTCATAGCAAACAAACCAAAAATAATGTAAATGCTGGCCAGTAAATTCTCTTCCGGGTAATCACTCTGTGGTTCTCCCAGTGTACACATTAATTAAATTTGTGTGCCTTTTCTCCAACTAATCTGCCTTTTACAAGTTAATTTTTCAGTGAAACTTCAGAGGGCAAAGCAGAAGTTTTTCCCTTGGTCCATACAATCATTATGCATCTATGCATGTAACAAAATTTTACATGTATCCTATAAATGTGTAAAAATATAATGTATCAGAATTATGAAAACAGGCCGGGCACGGTGGCTCATGCCTGTAATCCAAGCACTTTGGGAGGCCGAGGTGGGCAGATCACTTGAGGTCAGCAGTTCAAGACCAGCTTGGCCAATATGGTGAAACTCCATCTCTACTAAAACTACAAAAATTAGCTGGGTGTGGTGGCGAGGTGGCCTGAAGTCCCAGCTACTCCGGAGGCTGAGGCAGGAGAATCACCTGAACCCACGAGGCAGAGGTTTCAGTGAGCTGAGATCAGGCCACTGCACTCCAGCCTGGGTGACAGAGCAAGACTGTCTCAAAACAAACAAACAAAAACATGAGAACAAATTTTAAAATACAATTAAATTCACTTCACAGGCAGGCCATGTGCAGTGGCTCGTGCCTGTAATCCCAGCACTTTGGGAGGCCGAGGCAGGCAGATCACTTGACGCCAGCAGTTCAAGACCAACCTGGCCGACCTAGTGAAACCCCATTTCTACTAAAAATATAAAAATTAGCCTCCAAGGTGATGTATACCCATAATTCCAGCTACTCAGGAGGCTGAGGCGGGAGGATTACCTGAGCTCAGGTAGCCAAGGCTGCAGTGAGCCATGATCTCGTTGCACTTCAGCCTGGGCAATAGAGTGAGACCCTTTCTCAAAAAGAAAAGAAAAGAAAAGGCACAGGCAGGGCCACACTTCCAGGGGGTACCAAGTACTTGGCCACAACATAAACACCCTTAGCCCTTGTTTAAGCAGCTATGCCTGACAGCAGTGGATAGCTATGCTCTAACCATATATTAAATAACATTTCAACAACAGGTTTAAGAAAAAAAAAAAAAACATAAAAAAAATTCTCAGTTCTTCAAGTTTCTGGGAAGGTGTTCACAGCCTTGTTTTCACCTCCTCCAAAAAAGTAACCCACTATATCCCGATTTTTAGAGTTTCAAACCGAAACCAACAAGTGTTTGCCCCCCTAATGTCCCCAGTGTAAATGTAACCACCTCAAAATAGGGAAAGCAATGAAAATCAAGAAATGAAGCTATTTCTTTTTTTTTTTTTTTGAGGTGGAGTCTCGCTCTGTCGCCCAGGCTGGAGTGCAGTGGCCGGATCTCAGCTCACTGCAAGCTCCGCCTCCCAGGTTTATGCCATTCTCCCGCCTCAGACTCCCAAGTAGCTGGGACTACAGGCGCCCGCCACCTCGCCTGGCTAGATTTTTGTATTTTTTAGTAGACACGGGGTTTCACCGTGTTAGCCAGGCTGGTCATGATCTCCTGACCTCGTGATCCGCCCGTCTCGGCCTCCCAAAGTGCTGGGATTACAGGCTTGAGCCACCGCGCCCGGCCAAATGAAGCTATTTCAAAACACCCCAACCCTACCCAAAGTCAGTTAGGATCATGCAGAAGAGAACTGCTTGCCAGCATACTTGTATTGCTCTAGATTTTTATTCTGTATTGCAAAAACCCCAACACTACTTAAACACTGTATAGATATTCTCACTTCTCTGCTAATACAGCCTGAAAGACAGCCTCACGCATCTCACTATGACCCAGGGTCTCAAATAAGGGATTTCACTTAGATGGGTGGGCTCGTCATTTCATCATAGTGATCATGACCTTGCATTTTTCTCTAATTGCATTATTAGGGAGTAGAAGATGGAAAGAAATGAATAATATTCAGTTGGTGCAAAACTCATTGCAGTTTCTGCCATCCATTAAAAGGGATTGCAAAAACCACGATTACTTTTGCACCAACCTAACATCCACCTCCAAGCACACCACCACCTTTATACAAACATCCATAGTTGTGCTTTTTGATGAAACAGTTCAAGCATGGCGGTAGTTGCTGTCTCATGCATTAAGCCCTTCCTCTCAGACTTCCTAGAGGCTCCATTTTACTTGCTGGTATTGCAGAGGGAAAACCCAGGTCAATGAACAATACACACACAAAATCAACAAGAAAATCCGCATGCACGTGACCATCAGCATGGTGGAAAGACCGTGCCATCCATGGGCTTGAATTTATCCTTCCCCTCATGGATGGCCTTAAGTAAATCCCTTCTCTCCACTTCCTCATCTATAAAATTATCCACATATAATTTGCCTTCATTTTTGCAGAAAAGCAAAATGAAATAATCCCTTTCAATATATGGGTGGGGGGACTGTTACATTAAGTATAGACCAGAAGTGAATGATTTTTCTAAAAAAGGGCAGTGATGCTTAAGGGGGAAGGGAATGTATGAATGGTTAGTTGCTCTGTACCTTGTATTAACTTAATACAAGAACAACTCAAAGACAGGGATCCTCTTTCCCCCAAGCTCCTAGAAAACATTTTAGGAGGCCGGGCGCAGTGGCTCACGCCTGTAATCCCAGCCCTTCGGGAGGCCAAGGAGGGCAGATCACAAGGTCAGGAGTTCAAGACCAGCCTGGACAACATGGTGAAACCCTGTCTGTATTAAAAATACAAAACTTAGCTGGGCATGGTGGTGCGTGCCTATAATCCCAGCTACTCAGGAGGCTGAGGCAGGAGAATTGCTTGAACCGGGATCCGCCAGGTGGACGTTGCAGTGAAAACCGAAGTTCCCGCAACTTACTCCAGCCTGAGCTAAAGAGCGAAACCCCATCTAAAAAAAAAAAAAAAGAAAAAGAAAAGAAAAGAAAAGAAAAAGAAAACATTTTAGGAGCTAAAGAGACTTGAAAAGAGAGTTTCTGCCAGCCCCTTCCCAAGTCAATAAATGAATAAATTAAACATTATGGAAAGATCCTTGGCATTTCACTCAGGGGCACAGAAAAATCTTTATAGACAGTTTAGTTTCCTGACTTGCTCCCAGCTTGGAGCTGATAAGAGGTGTGGGCTGGGATGACGAACAAGCAGCTGGGAGGCTGCACTGCAAGCCCGCCCAGTCTGCTATCTGGGAAAGTGGAGATGCCAGGTCCCTGGTGTCCGCTCCCTTTCCTGGTATTCCTTCACCTACCTTCGCCTGCAGGCCCCCCTCTGCATGTCCAGACCCCACACAGCGTCATTCGCCTTCCTGGGATCCGAGGTCTGCCTTGCTAAACTGTTCTTACCTCAGTGATCCCAACATGGTCGTAAACGGTGGCAGGAAGGGACGCTTCAGCACTCATCTGCTGTTTTGGACTTTATCCTTTTATCGGGACACTTTACCTGCCTTTTCAATCCTCTTCCTCCTTCGTGGACACAGGTTGCTTACACCTTCAAGATGTAAGCCCAGCCAGGGCTTGGGAATAACCATGAGCACAGGCAAGAACTTTGGAGGAAGCCCACCCAACTAATGGCTACTGAACCACATCTGGGCCGTCCACCCCCAGCACTTGCTCCCACTCGATCTCAACAGTCTTCCGAGATAGGCATTAGTATTATCCTGCCTCAACAGAGCAGGAAATTGCAGCTCAGAGAGGTAATAGGAGAGCTCTGAATCCAGACCTAATTGTGGGTCCTGGGCCCTTATGCCGTGCACTGGATCTAATGACTATGGTTACACCATGGGTGCTGCTTTGAGTGCTGTGCTCACAGCAAGTCAATGAAGCCTGATCCCAACCCTGTGAGGGAGGTAACACTATGACTTCATTTTAGAGGAAACGGAGGCACAGAAAGTCACAGAACTTCCCACAAGTGACATGATGGCTAGGTGGAGAAGCCAGCACACCAGCCTCCGGCCTCAGCCACCAGCATGTTGTGCTCTTAACTATTCCACAACTCTCTGTAAAAATGATGGGGAATGCCCTGGCCTGTGGGCTCTCAGACCCCTTGCCCTGGCCTCCCTAGGGACAGAGGCTGTATCTCACCATCTTTGCATCGACAGTGCCAACTGAGTGCCTGGCACCCAGCAGGGTCGCAATAACTGCTCCTGCGCCAACAAATGGATGGGACAAACCTTGGCTTCCCCACCCACCATTTCATCCCTTAGTGTGTCCTCTCTCTTGCCTAGAACCCAGACCACCTGCGGTCATTTACCAGGGAGAAAATGGTTCTAAATTAACAATTTTTTTTAAGAGAGATAGGGTCTCGCTCCTTTGCTCAGGCTGGGGTACATTGGCACAATCATAGCCCACTGAAGCCTCAAACTCCTGGGCTCAAACGATCCTCCTGCTTCAGCCTGCCTGTAAATTAACAAACTTTTCCCCCATTTTCCAGCTACTCTCCTTCTCTATCTCCCAGCCCCCTCCCTGCTGTCCATTCCTCCACAGATAAAGGAACAAAGCTACCAACCGTTAGAGCCACAAAGAACCTCAGAGTGTCCAGTCTGGCCCCTGAGAAGGTAGATGATGTCCTCAAGCTCATACAACTTAAAGGTTGTCCATAAACTACCAATCTCCCAACCCTTCCCACTAATAGAAAGAACAAGTTAGGAGGAGGCCAGAGGTGCCTGTCCTGGAACCCAAGCCTCTTGCCCCCTGGGGGAATATTAGGCAGTGACACT